GGCGGTTGGGGGTTGGGGTGCGGGGGGGGGGGGGGGGGGGGGGGGGGGGGGGGGGGGGGGGGTGTGGGTGGGTGTGGGTGTGGGTGTGGATGTGGGTGCCGGTATTAGTGGGGATGTGCGTGGGCGCTCGCGTCGATATTCTCTTCACTGAATCCCACCCACACCCACACCGATACCGACACCCAGACCCAGACCCACACCCCACACCCACACCCAATCTGACATAACTTACTGAATTAGAAATATGAAAAAAACATGTCAATGCTCATTTTTCTACTGTCAATGATTAGTTTGCCTATCAATGGTGAAACGATCAATCTTTCATCGAAAAGTTTAAAAAATGGTGATGGTTTCATAAAGTCACACAAAATATGTATATAGAAAGTTTCAATTTCCTGGCCCGACTGTTCTCAACGATGCATCGGACGTTTTCGAAAAAGTAACTGGTCTTACAACAGCATTCTATCATACAGAACCAGTATTATTCAAAATCCAATTTGAAGCCATTTGTCATCTTGGGGTCGGGGTCGCGCCTTTTTGGGTGTACCCACGTATAACAGTGAATGACTTGCTTGTATACAATGATAGGTTTCTTAGAAATACTGAGGATCGCTACAAATCGATAGCAGGAATGCCTGATGGAAATGTCCTCGATATTCTTGGTGCGGGACATTATTATATTGACGCACACATTGCATTTAAGTTACTAAAATCGGAAGTACTTTATTTGGAACCGGGTTTGCATGTTATTGATGTTGCTGTTCGAGGGAAAGGAGCTATGCCAATTGTCGTTATGGGTGGTGTGCTTACCATTGAAACGTTTCAATACGACGGTACAGCAGATCTTGGTGGCGTAAGATTAATGAATGTTTCAGCACTGAATTAGTATTTAAACGAGCACAAAAAAGACGCTTTCATCTTTCACCAGAGAAACTCAATTTAACTAATTACTAATGAACTCTTTTTTCCTAAAATGCTCTAAAAAAAGACAACATGTGGCTGTGATACGTCTATTATTTCTATGTTATGGGTGTGGGTGTGGATGTGGGTGTGGGATGTGGGATGTGGATATGGGTGTGGGATGTGAGTATGGATGTGGGTATGGATGTAGCTGTGGGGCGTGAGTATGGATTTGGGTATTTATCTTACCTTAACTCGCACTCATATCCACAAGAACACCAGCACCCACACTACCCCACACCTACACGCATTCACCCACATCCGCACCGACACGCATCCAACCGCATCCACCTTCAATCAAATTGGAGAGAAAGGAGGACAGCAACTAGCTGTTGCATTAGAAAGTAACCTTGTAAGTTATGAACTTTTCAGATTTTCTCCATACTCATCGTTATTGTTTTACATAGACTTTAATTGGGCTCATTATAAAAAGTAATAAGAGCGGTTGTTGTGCAGCTATTGGAGGTGAGATTTCAATCCGAAACAATGTGGTAATCATTCGTGTGCCAGATTTTACTAATCGTTTATATTCCATTTTTCATTAAAGGCACTCACCACACTAGATCTCCATAGTATTAAAATTGAAGATAATGGAATGCAACATTAGGCTGATACACTACACTATAACGAGGTAAACAATGGATCTTTACTATCATTTTTTTGCATTTTTGGTTTCTTCACATAGACATCAGTTACACTAAGTGCTGCAGCTAATAATATTGAAGCGAATGGAATAATGTATTTAGCTGATGCAATGAAAACTAACAGAGAGACAGATCGATGTTTCTTATTTCTTATATATTCATTTTATTTTTACACAGCCCATGTAATTTTTTTTCATGCGTTTTTGCGTCAGACGCGCGTTTCCCATGCGTCCAAAACGCTGCTGTTGAATGCGTTTAGACGGGGCTCAGATGCAACATTTCTTGCGTTCTCATACGACTCGACTAAAATTGTTGTTTAGACGCAACCGTTGAGATGAACGAGTACAGACGCGACTCTAACTGAACCAAATGCGTTCCAATAGATTTTTCAAATTTCAAAAATATATTACCCATCCGTCTCAGCTTTGATCTGAGTTGCCATCAACATTGCCCTACGATGGTCTTTACCTAACCCTAGGGTAACAGAAAGTTTAAATTTTGATTATTCTGAAATGATAGAAACGAGATTAGAACAAGTGAACTTCTGTTTGGAAAGCAAGTATACATACCAGTGAACTACATGTGATCACATTAACAATTGAATGAAAAGGAAAGTGTATATAGGCCATCTTTAGAAACTTAAAAATGAAACAGTAAACGTTAAATAAATATAGTCTTCTGATGATTCTCTTATACTAAACATATGTACTCAAACGAAAATAGTTGAATTAAATACATTGAATTGCACATTTATTTTTATTTCTCATTCTTGTAAATATTCCTTGTCGAAAATAATTTTGTTTATATTTTTCTAAAATTTAGTCGCTTTCACTTTTATCTTACAGATGTTCTATAATATATTATTCTATAGTGTTTTATTAAAAATGTATCTATTCAGTCTTTTGAGATAAAAAAATTGAAAAATTTCGGTATTTAGCATTTTTCAATCAAGGTTATTTTATTGAAAACATTGGCACACATTTAATGGTAGATATTAAATCCGCTCTTGAACTCTTTTTCTATAGATTTTCTTTTGTGCCAAGTATTGTTTCTATCTTAACTAAAACTGTTGAGCGTACTTCTGTGTAATGTTAGCGTAAGTCTCGTCAAAACACAAAACATGTTGCAGCGGAAACGTGCTGCTTAAAATATCGCATATGTACGCGACAGACAACCAACACA